ATACATATAGATAGTTATAGATTTTTGGTATCGCCGTATTGTTTATGGAAAGTTTGAATCCAAGTGTTTACTGGAACGAATCGTTTAAGACATAAACGCCCTACTGGTTACACGTTACACTGCTAATTTGCACGATCTTTCAGTTGTAAGAATTCTTGAAAGAATCTTCCGCATTCTTAGCTTTTCTCTCTACAAATGACTTCCAATACATTTTAAAGAGTTGTCTCTTGTACCCCAGGTCTACCCCCTTAAAAAAGCCCGCAGAGTTTACTGGTGTCTTTGTGCCGTCCGTAGTATACAAGACTTAACATAAAATTTAAAATGATTTGAAATCGAACTGTATTTAAAATGATTTGAAATCGAACTGTATATTAGACTATATGAGTTAGATTAAGTCCTGTTCAGATCACAGTTTCCTCAAATACAATTCGCAGAAAACCCTACACAAAGCGGGATGATCTCATGGGCTCTGGGAGGGCAAAAAAAATATCCTGTTCCACTATAGGTGATTTCGCATAATCGAAGAAAAGAGGACGGAATAGTGATTACATTTATTGTGGTAACAATCAATAACGGTCAACCAAATCATGACGGCGCACGTAAACTTTTCGAAAGGACTTGATCTTTGTTCAGTAACTTTCGAAACACAAGAACTGGAGTATAATAGCAGCTGCATATTTTATATTCCATATTCAGGAGCTTGTGCTACATTAAAATGGAAAGTTTAAAATTTGAAATGTGAATTTTTTCTTTTTTTATCATACATTGTTAACATATATATAAATATATATATAGGTCAATATATGAAGCGGATCAAACTGTATCAGTCTTATCAATAATTTCATGTTCGTTTGGATAATTATAAGTGGTCATCAAAGTGACCAAACTCTTAATAATTGAGTATGAAACAGTATCTTTTTAAGGGAAATTTGATACGTCCGTTACATTCTCTTTGAGAAGTGCAGTGCCATACACTATATACGGTATTCGTTGTTTTTGTCATAACCAAGTTTGGGATGTCAAGTAGTATTCAAATCATATTCGTTTCAGTAAGAACGTAAAGGCACATCACGAAACAATACTTTTGCTTTTGAAATTATATGAATATTTATATGTGTCAACTATATAAATAAGTTAGTCAATTAACTATGGATTGTTGTGTGGCAAATGTTATAAAACGATATTCATGCATTTCGTAAAACCTTTTCGACCACAGATGTTTCCCGCGTGAACTCATTCAGTTTATTATAGAAGTCATACGCTTGAGAATAGTTTTGCAATACCGAAGACACTCTTATTTTCATTGTCTAATACTATTTCATTATTTGCTATTTTTTATATTTTGTCATTTACTTTATGAATGTTACCTAACCTAACATCGAAACGAGGAAATAAACCAGAGATGACAACATTTTTCGATATGGATCTAGCTTTCAAAACTTGTCTTATATATTCTTTATTACACTATTCTATTTGAAAGTCTTTGTAAAAATCAATTATTACTTCCTACTTGCAAAATAATGTTTTTGAGATAGAAGTCACTTGGCAAATTAAGTAGTTTTGCCGTTAAATCACAGATCTTTCCTCCTCTGACACAAATCGATGTGGGTTTCCAACTTGAATCTAGTCTGGTTGAAGTATCGGATGATTGCACTGTCTATTTTTAATGTTCCTTTTGGCTTGTGGCTTTGTGTATTTTGTTCGACGGTCTATTCATTATGATTTATGTATTCTGTAGTATTTCTACCTGTATCATTACCACAATAGTCAGTACTACTGTCACCATTCTCGTCACTATCGCCACAAGAACCACATTAACCTCTGTAACTACCAACATTTAAACCACCGTCACTGCCAACATTGACACCACCTCCACCGCTATGCACCACCATCACAACTGTCACAACTGCCACAATCTTCAAATCCAACTGCAATACCATCATCACAACCACCAATACCACCACAACCAACATAGCAATCTTCATCGTCACTACAACCATGATCAATATTACTACCACTATGACTACTACTTCTATCACTACTAAACTCACAATCATCGTTTACATCAGCCAAAACGATCATCACTACAAAGATCACTTCAACTAACGCCATCATAGTCAATACTAACATCATCAATTTATTCGACACCTCCATTGTTACAATAAACATCACCTTCACTTTACGACCACCATCGTCTCTACCGCCACCATCACACCTTCGTCACTACCCAAATACGATCTTCACTCACTAGCGTCAATACCACCTCATCATTACTTCCGCCTTACTTCACACTACTATCACCACCACACCTTCGTCACTACCCAAATACGATCTTCACTCACTACCGTCAATACCACCTGATCGTTACTTCCGCCTTACTTCACACTACTATCACCATCACACCTTCGTCACTACCCAAATACGATCTTCACTCACTACCGTCAATACCACCTGATCGTTACTTCCGCCTTACTTCACACTACTACCACCATCACCTTCACTACCACCTGATCGTTACTTCCGCCTTACTTCACATTTACTAACACCATCACACCTTCGTCACTACCCAAACACGATCTTCACTCACTACCGTCAATACCACCTGATCGTTACATCCGCCTTACTTCACACCACTATCACCATCACCTTCAGTACCACCATCTCCATCTTGTCTTCAGTAAAATCACCGACTTTAAATCTACATAAAACTTCTCGATAACTATTTGAAGGAGTAATGTTACAGTGCATTAATATGTGAGTACGACTTAAACACCGAGTCAAACAAAGCTGAGGAAAAAAAAAGAGTCTGAAGCCGTTACCAAAAATGTTCCTTGGAAATTAAAGTAGCAGTTATCCACATAACCAGCACCGTCAACAACTTTTCTAGTACAGTTGAATAATGTTGTATATTGTACATCAGGTTTACCATATTCTTTTAAAGTGTGTGTTTACAATTGTAAGTGTCTGTATAAGTATTACAAAAGCATATTAACAAAA